GTCCGTGGGATTTGAACTCTAGACCTGCCACTTGGAGAGGGTGACGACTAGACCACTACACTAAGTCGCTACACCTCTTTTTTACAATAGATTATGATTAGTTAAAATATTGATTGCAATTAATGATTGAGCAAATGTCTTTATCATTACTACTATTTAGTAATTATTTTTACAAATAAAAATAAAAATAGATTAAATTAATTTAAATTAATGAAAATGATGGATCAATAAAAGAATAAAAAATCTACAACACTTCCAAATTCTGTTTCTTCTTTTTCGAAATTTACTACAAATCAACAAAATATAAAAATGCACCTTTTTTATTTGCGGCAAATATTTTTGGCATAAGTAGATAATAATAATTCATCGATATTGATAATGATTTTAAAGATTCATAATGATAATGATTATAATGAATAATTATTTTTCTAATCAATCAAAAATTTTAACCAATAAATGCAACTCTATAATAAAAAAAGAACATCTGGGCCTTCATTATTTGTTGATTGGAATGATAAATACCCTTGGTTGGTTAAACAAGTAGGTTAGTCATGTTACAAAAAATTGTTAGTCCTGTGATCTACAAGCTACACAGGGCTTCAAATTTTTATTCTTGATTATCGGGATCTAAAAAAAGTTCATACTAATGAACATATATATGAAGAAGCCTTTTTTATACAATATATTATCTTTTAAATTTTTGATCTTCTTAAGTCTTGATTTACAAAATTTTACGAAAAAAAAACTTATTAGTTAAGAACTATTAAGATACATTTATTTATAATTTAAAATACTACTTACCATATAACCGCGAAATAACGCACACGAGTGTTATTTCAAAAATTGGCCTCTAAAAAAAATATCATATTTGATTCGAAATAATGCACATGTGCATTCTGTAATAACACGCATCCAAGTAAGTCACAGAAAAGGTCAATTTAATATAAAATATTTATTCAGGAAATTAATCTTTTATTTCGAAATACCATATATGCGTATCCCAAAATAACGCACAAGTGAATAAATTAACGTGCAGGGGTGTGTTATTTCGCGGTTATACAGTAATATTAATTAAATAAACTTCTAGATATTTGGGATCCTTAATGTATAGTTAAAAAAAAACTTTATTAATTAAGAACTACAAAGATACATCTATCTATCTAAATTAAAATTCTACTTAACATTAAATAACTACAATATTAATAATAAATTATATTTAATTCTCACAATAGAAATATTAAACTATTTACTGTAACCAAAAAGCAAGCTTTGATTTACAAGATGAATTCTATATTTTTTGTTGATTTCGAGCCTATAAAGCTTCCTGACAGACCATAGTTTTAGTTATTAAAAATCATTTTAGTTTTTGATATGTATTGTAAAAAGAATTGTTTTCAATACTATCCAAAACAATCATTAATAAAGATTCAAACATTTTCTTATTTTTATTAATTTCTACTATTCTAGATTCAATTAATTCATTTTGGTTGTGAGTATATAATTTAATGCTAATATTCTCTTCTATTATATCCTTAGATTCAGCTAAAAGATCTTTACTGGCCTCATTCCAAGAGTTATTTATTAGATAAATACTTGGAAGTTTTTCTTTACCAAAATATATAAATTGATAGTCATGTCTTCATTTTGTATTTTTATACAAAGAAAAAAAAAGTTTGGTGTTGGTTTGTATAATTTTTTACAAGATGCTTATATAACATATAAGCAGTTTCAATAAATGTAGAGTATGAACAAATCTATAAATTTGTATCTGTATAATATATACTCTTAAAACTTATTTCTTTTTCTAAATTATTTTTCTAATTACTTTTAAAGATATCCCACTATGATAGAAATATTCAATTATTTTTAAATTTGGCCCACTCATTTATTTGATCTGGAACTAATTCTTTTATTATTATATATATTAAATGATCTAGACGAGGTTGGTTATAATTATTTTTATAATTATGTTTTAAGACACACCAATAAGATTCTACTAACATAGTTGTTCTTAATAATGGCAATGCTTTTGGATAGGAGGCTCAAGCAAATAGATTCTAATAACTTTTTTTATACCAGTTAAACTATAAATATCCCCATAAGCAAACAAGATCTTTTTTCCTACAGTAATTATATATTTCTAAAATGCTTTGTCAATAAATTTCATGTGATATAAAGAATATATCTTTTTTAATAGGTATAAGTGAATGTAATATGGAGTGTTTTTTAATTATCTTTAAAATTTCTTTTATATTTTCTTCAGGACAAAAAATGTTCTCTTGTCCAGTTAGTATTCAAAATTTATCAACAAATTCAAATATATATTTAGCATTAACAGCAACTTGTAAAGTATATTGACTATTTTTAAACTTTTTTTCTTTTAATCTTTATTTAATAGCATGTTCTACATGCTATAAACAAATTTGAATATTTGCTATTCCTGCCCAAGCTTCTTTTACAGCTGTTATTTCACTAGCATCTTTATCTAAAAGAACAAAACAAGGTAATATTTTATTATTTCTTAATACAGAGAAGAATTTCTTTAAAATTTTTACTCATGTATTAATATAGTTGTTTGGATTTTGTAAAAGTTCTTCTGGTGCTGTGAAAGTATAAACATAAAGGTATGCTAATAGAACTCTATATCCACCACAATTATTTATTATAGCAAAAAGTTCAAATTTTTTTGATTAGTTTTAAATATTGAATCTATAATTATTTCATTAATAGGATCCAATATTTGATGAAAAAAAGGAGTAGTAAAACCTAATGCTCGAATAAAATTATTTTCAAAATAAAAAATAACCTTATACTCTTAATTAATTAGTTCATTTTGTTCTAAGAAATAATGAGCTGAGAGAAGTTGATTTGATGAATTCATAATATCTTGTTGCAAAGAAAATTTAGAGATCCAATAGTATATTTGGTAATAGGTATGTACTTTAGAATTGATAAGTTTTTCTTAAAAGAGTCTTTTATAAATTTCAATTTTTCAAAGACTTTTATTTACATTTCTAGATATCCAAGCAATAGCATTTTGTAGTATATTGTTTTTACGATATGTTGGATAGTCATGAGAAATTAAATATTCAATTTCTATATTTGCTAAATATTTATTTGTATTAACAACTATTTTAACTTTTCTATTACAGAGATATTGATCAATTGCTTGTCTTGCTTCACTTATTCTTTTTACTATTTGACTACTAGAACTTGTAAATTTCCAATCATCCCTTTGTGTACAACTGAGAAATGCTATTACTTCTCCGATAAATTGATTGTTTTTTTTATGTGGATAAATGTTCTGTACTTCTCAATAATAGCGAGAACCTATTTCAATAGGTAAAAGGAAAGGTAAAGCTATATTGAGATATCTACTTTCTTTGTCACTACTTAATATATTATTAACTAATTCATTAACCAATTTAAAAGTTTCTAAAAAGTGCACTTTATCAATATCCATAAAACAGTTTGCAACTATGTTTTCTAGATTTGCTAAATCACATAAAATTTCATCATCATCAGCTAAGTTTAAATTCTCCATATAAATAGTTTCTTCACTTGCAACCTCTACTGATTTCTTTTTCCTGCCTTCTGCACAAGCATTATATATAGCCATTCTTTTAAACGATTTCTAACTTGCCAAAAAAATTCATTTTTAATTTTGAGTTTATTACAGCAAGAGCATCTTTTTGTATGATCATTGAGATTGTTTGAACTTTTGCTAAAAGAAGCTATTATTTGCTAGAACTAATTGTAAATTAGATTATTATCAGATGTGAGACATGTCCTCTTGGTTGTTATTACATATAAATCAAATGAGTTAACTTACCCAAATTTATATATAAAATTTGACAAAAAAAACACTTTTTTTTAATTTACTCAAGAAAGTAAATATAAAAA